CTCACGAATAATGCTTATCTCAACAACATTAACTGATATTTTAAAATGTTGGAGGAAACTAAGAGCATCTCGTAATTTTTTATGAGTCATTCAACTTTAGATTTTTTTTTTCTTTATTTATCCGGGCATATAAATTAGTTTCGTGATGGAGATGATTTTTAATTGTATTATTATAAATGAAATTATCTTTTAGTCTTCTTTTTTAATATGTCATTGTTTACATCATAAATTGCGAAATTTTAAATTAATGTCACGTGTAAAATTTTTATTGGCTGGAGGAGTTTGAGCCATGTCAGATTCGGATTCTAAGCCCCATGACAGATCAGCACATGTGTTGGCAAGATAGGAGAGGTAAAGATAATGTTTTGTGGAGTAATTATTTTCTTGAAACAGAAAGAGATAATGACAGTTGGAAAATAGGGGAAGATCACAGTTAAAAAGGGGATTTTATCTGATATAGTACATGTGGCGAAATCTGAAAGGGGATTAGACTAGGTCAAAAGATGAGGTGTCCCACTACTCCAATAAACTACCCATGATTGAGTAACTGCTGGCACAAGAAGAACAAAAAAGAAACTTTGGCAAGAGGAACAGACGGCCAGCCCTACTCAAACATCAGCAAATTTTCATACTTTGATTTTCTCTACACATGTTTCCAGATTTCGGTTTTCAGCACAGATTCCATTAGAATTAAGTTGTTTTTCATCATTCCAGTAGACAAATTAATTCATATATTCAGTTAAACAATTTCTTTTCATGCAATGAACTTAAATCCTTCAAGTTTATGCAAGGTATTGTTTTCTTTTCATTTGTAATTAATTTAATGTTTATGTTAAGTAGCATTGCTTTAATGATTACTTATGTGGCTTTCATGCTTCTTTCCAATTTCAAGTTCTTCAATTTCTTCACTGTTCAAGTTTAAATTTTAGTGTTAATTTAGGAGTAAATTTCCAGTTCTGTAACAATTTAATTTCTGAATCTGTCAATAGATTGCATTTTAATTTTACAATGAACATGTTTAATTTAATTTGGGCACAGCTTTTTCTCGCAAATTTACTTTAAATTGCAGGAAATTTAGAGTAATTAGTATCTGTTAATTTTAAGTCACGGTAGTGTTTTAAGTCCTTGAAGTTGTCTAAAGCAAATTTCGTAACCCATTCTGCAGGAAGGTATTCCTCTCTCTTGCAAATCGTCTGAAGGCGCAATTTCAATTTTAATCTAACGTTCTTCCCGCCATCTGTGAAGAGGTCGACCGTGAGGAAGGAAAGGGTCGTTGGGAAAGTCCTTCTTTCTTACTTTCAGCAAAGTAAGTGGCACGCCCACAACCAGATTTCACACGTGTGAGACCACTAGAAGATTTTTGAAGAAACAGTTATATAAATAGAATAAACAGAATTCAAGATTATAAGAAACTGAGAATTTTTTCTCACATCTAGTCTAGTCTCATTAGCTCAATTTGTATAACAAAGTTTATAAGAAATAAAATTGATAAATAAATTATGAATGATAGAAATCTTTAATTTTTAAATATAATTTTATTTAAATTATTATTATAAAATTTCTAAACACCTTTTTGTAGTTCATGTAAATACTTTCTTTTTCCCTATAAAATTTCTTCTTCTTTTTTTTTCTCATCAGCACATTTTCTAAATGTGCAAAATTTGAAGTCCTCAACGTACACATTTATATAAAAATTTAAAATCTTATGAAAAGATAAATCAAAGTTTAATTAGAAAAAAAAAAACACTTTACCTTTGAATGGTTGCTCCCAATATAAAATTTTTTATTGGATTTGAGTTTAAATCCTCTTTTTCCTCGAATTAGGCTTTTAGGTTGAATAATTCATTGCCAAATCTTAAATGTTTGGATTTAGTTGATTAGAAATTCGATTTTTACTGACACTTTAAAAAAATATCCTTTATCCCTCAAATTTCTCAATGTTAAACAAAAAAAAAAAAATCCTCCTCCCTCAAAAACTCCCAAGGTGTAACCTTGTTAATATATATATATAGTGTAAATTAGAAAAGTTCCATTTTTTACAATTTTAAGATTAGTTTAATACAATTTATTACAATTCCAAATATATTAAGTATTTTTGAAATTAAGAAGTAATAAAAACTTTTTTATTCCTGAAAAAAGTGGACTAAGTTCAGTTTCTGTGACAAAATCATGATATTAAGCCCAAAAATCTACTGGATGAAATATGAATAAAAATGAATGAACACCGGAACGCAGGACTTGTGATTTGAATCAACTGATCTCATTTCCCGCCATAAATGCAGACCGAGTCAAAGAAAAGCCCTAATCCAGTAACCAACTTCTTCTCCCCCACTTCCCCATTTCCACCCCCATCCATTCCCTTCAGAAAGTAACCAACTTTTCCTCCCAAATGCTATATATACTCCTCCCCCTACCCTTCTTTACCTCCGTTCTAGGCAAAATCAAGACCTTAAACTCTAGGTTCACCAATGGCTTCCAAGCTTGCTCTGTTTCTCTTCCTGACCCTTTCATGCTCTGTTCACCTCCTTGTCTCATCATTCGAATTCCAGGTCGGCGGAAGCAATGGCTGGGTTGTCCCTCCGGCGAATGACACCAAAATCTACAACGACTGGGCCTCCGAGAACAGGTTCCAGATTGACGACACCGTCCGTAAGTGCAAGTTCACAGTTTTCCAACGTATACAGAAATGGAAAACAGAATCCCCTGTTTTTACTCTGTTCTGGGTTTTTGAGTTTTTGACTTTTTTCAGGTTTTAAGTACCGGAAGGACTCTGTTATGGAGGTGAGCGAGCAAGATTACAAAAACTGCAACTCCACCCACCCCAACTTCTTCTCCAACACAGGCAACACCGTCTTCAGGTTCAGCCATCCGGGGGCCTTCTACTTCATCAGTGGAGTTTCCGGTCACTGCCAGAAAGGACAGAGGATGATCGTGAAAGTGATGATGTCACACGAATATGAAACTCCGCCACCACCTGGGGGTCACCCCGGAAAATCATCAGCTCATTCCATTTCTGCAGATTCATCATCTGGGTTGCTGAGTCTTGTCCTTGTTCAGTTCGTTTTCTCCTATGTTGCTTCTTGTCTGTTCTAGTTGGGTTCGTCCCATGTTAAAAGTTTCCACCATCGGAAAATTCAGTTAGGTTTTTGTAGAATGAATTTCAGACATTGTAATAAATTCCATTGTTTCCTGTTGTTTCTTAGTTTTTCCAATTTCATGTATATCCAGCAAAAATATCACGATTAAGGACAAAAAAGAAAACATGAATTTCAATTTTCATTAATTATAAATAACATCTAATAACATCAAAGTTTACAACTTTGGTGATTGAATGTACTAATTGTATAATAAAGGGATAATTTAGGAGTTACAAATTAATTTGTTTCCATTACCATAAAAAATTAATTCGTTTCCATATAAGGCGTTTGGTTATTTGCAACTTTTAAAGTGACAGAAGAACAAATTTTCTATTGCCAAACAAGGAATAAGAATTAAAAGGACACCCCTAAATTCAGGATAAATAAATAAACCCATAGGAACCATACCGCCGTTGCAGGCAGAGAAGGATACTTACTTCTCCGAGGGGTTTTAGGGTTTACTAGAAAGTTGTGGGGAAGGAGAATCAGAATGAGGACCTCGGGGGAATGTCTGGCAGAGACGGAGTCGCTGGTGGTTAATTTAGAGACCCCGTTCTTCCCTGAAACAGAGGAACCGGAAGCGGAGGTTGAAAAGGGTTCTAAAGACATGAGTGAGAAAGAGAAGGAGAATGAAAACTTCAAAGAGAAGTCAAGTGAAGATCTTGAAGGAGAATCTCAAAACAAGAGCATGTACGGATACCCGTTTAGGCCTCATGTTAAAGATTGTTCCTTTTATCTCAGAACTGGGTACTGCAAGTATGGTTTTCACTGCAAGTTTAATCACCCTGAAAGGAGCCAGGTAAATTCTTTGTTTGATTATCTGGCTGGGTTTATATGTTCCTTTTCGTGTAATGGGTTTCCTTTATATGAATTGAAGGGCAATGAGAATGACAAAGTTGGGATTTTTGGTCAGACAGAAGGAGGAACTGAATTTAAGGTCAGGGCGTTTTCTAGATCATGAAATTTTTTCATGATTGGTTGTGTTTTAGTGGCATGTATGATTACAATCATGATGCTTTAGTGGTGCAAATGGAAAAGATAACAGATTTCTTGTTTATATATTTGGTAGAATTGAATTAGCCTAGGCCTAATTCTCTTGCATATTTCTGCTACCTTCACTGTTTCTAACTGCTAATTCTTTGCACTTGGTGTGTGATTTCTCTCTTTTCACTTATGTGTATGAATTGAAGGATGTAAAGGAGGAAGGTACAGAAACGGACAACATTTTGGAGCAGCTAGGGCAGATTGAATGCAAGGTTAGGACTTTAGTGATGGCCTATTTAGTGTTTATTTTCCTTTTGTGTCTGTGAATGATTGTGGCTTGAGATACTAAAATGAGATTAGCAAAATGTTGGTAATTAATGCTGTTTTTCTTGAAATATAGATCTTGTTTTACTGTAATGGCAAGCCCATTTGTTGAACTTTAGAAATTAAGTCATTAAGACATTATACACTTACAACCTTCTTCTTATTGTGAAATTTGCAGTACTACCTAACTGCTGGAGGGTGTAAGTATGGAAAGGACTGCAGATATAAACACTCCAATGAGAAGTCCCATAGATATATAGAAAAGTCTGATGTGCCTTCACCTGAGCTTAACTTTTTAGGTCTGCCAATGAGAAGGGTATGTTTTATTTTATTTTCTCTTTGTTCGAAAACAGTTTGAATCTTGGTAGATGATTTTGTAGTATGTTTGTCATTTAGGTAGAAATTATAAACCGAGTTG